CTTCCCCGTGGACCTGGTTGTTGAGAATTTGAAGCAGACTGTGATCATGGATGAGTCATTAGCTGCTGCTAACTCAGCCAACATTCAGCTATGGTGATGTGAAAAAACAACAACAACAACAAAAAAAAAAAAACAGGCTGCAGTTAATTTTTCAAAAACTAAAATCTTGATACAACTTTTTCTGATCACAGTTCAGACAGAATAGAATAAAAGTTTAACTAATGTCATGCTAATACGGGCATATGACATCAACAAGTTTATAAAAAGAGTATTATTATACACTATATACCAGCCAATAAACTATTATACAGCAATAAAACTATATATATATATATATATATATATATATATATATATATATATATATAGCAACAGACAAGCAAAGGTCTTCTGTAACATTTTACCTTGATTTGTGACCTGAGGTAATGAAAGGTTTATGTTGCATACGTGTATGAAGTTCCGTTCAATTATCTTGAGTGGACCAGTCATTATTGGCGGAACTACAAGAAGTTTTTCGGAAGTTCGTTTGGACGGATGAAGAATATACCAGAATATGTCCGAATATTGACGGGCGTATAAAAAGTGTGAGATATTTATTTTTAACTGCTCCTTTATTGACACTCTGTGATCCTGGGAAAAGCTTTTTACGTAATGTATGTAAATGTTGGGAGAAAGTCCATCTGTCCGTCCGTCCGTCCGTCCGTCCATCCGTCCGTCCGTCCGTCCGTCCATCCATCCATCCATCCATCCATCCATCCATCCATCCATCCATCCTCTTCCACTTATTCTGAAGTCGGCTCGTGTGGACAGCATCTTGAGCAGGGAGGTCCAGATATTGATTTCCACAGCCACCTCTTCCAGCTCTTCTGGGAGGACTCCAAGGCGTTCCCAGGCCAATTCTCTCCAGCATGTCCCGGGTCTTCCCCAGGGTCTCCTCCCAGTCAAACGTGCCCAAAGCACCTCCCTAGGGAGGCACCCAGAGAGCATCCTTATCAATGCCCGAACCACCTCAACTGGCTCCTCTGGATGTGGAGGAGCAGCTGTTCTACTCCGAGTCTCTCCTGATAACATTTGTTTCACAACAGATGCACTTCCTGACACAACCTGGGCTCAAACCCGCAACCTCAGGATTACAAGACCGCAACACTGACCACCGAACTACCGTTTTTCCAGAATATTCTCATTAAATGTGTTTGAGCCTCATGTTTTCCAAATCCTCACAGATGAAGGGGCACGAGGCCGTCACAGTCTGGTTTCTTCACAGTACACTGCCATCAATACAAGCTAACCTTTATGTTGCACAAAACGCTGCAGTGTCCTGCTGAGTGACATCAAGTGCTCGTTCATTGCCGTGGAGCCACAGAAAAGCTGTGATGTCTAATTTATCTGCAAACTAATTCTTGTCATTGAGGAGAAATACCCATACAGCTGTTAACCATTTCACTTTACCCTTGGCTCTAATGAGCGATAAATGTTGCCATTTTAATCTAAATAATTAGATTTACAACAGTTCTTTGATGTGTTTTGTAGCATGCACCAACCAACAATGTGTATGTACATGACTTTTTCCTCATCTCTCTCTTTTTCCCCATTTTCAGTAAGAGAAGAGAATTGAAACTGGATCACTTAAAAACAGAAATGGCCTTTCTGTGCCGTGCTGGAGTTAACCTTTAAGACCTTTAATTAGCTTAGCTTCTGACATGTACACATATCGGGGATAGCTTGCTCAAGGGCAGTTTGACCTGTTGTGAATGAAGCTGGAGTCAAACTGGCAACAACCTAATTTACAGAAAACTACGCTTTTCTATTCAAGAACGAAGTCAATCAAACGTTCACAACCACCTTGGTTACCACATGCACAAAGAATCTATCCCAACAATAGGCCAACACTGGATGTTCAGCCTTTATGGCTAAACCAACAAACACAACTGAAAACTCTGAAACTGTGTCAGCCCAGCATGGACAAAATCATAAAAACTGGCACCGCTTCAGTTGGATGCTGCTAAATGCTTTCATCCTTACACAAATTGAGTTCCACGCTGTTTAGAAATGCAAAGCCTCTGCCAAAGCCGCCTCCTCTTAAAAAACTGCAACCAGGATGGGTCCCTACCTCCTTCTGGTGGTACTTGATGGCTAGTTTGAGCTTGGCCAAGTCGTGGCACTGCCTGGGGTCCAGTTCCTCACTCTGGTCATTGTCTCTGTGGTTCAGGATGGTCTCGAGCTCTCTCGAGCTTCTGGCCTGATCCAGGAGGTCTTTGGCGAAACGTTTGCACTGCTGAGACAGCTCTTCGTACTCTTGACGAAACTCGTTCTCCACCTGAAGCATGGAACGAGTTGCATGTTATGTCAGCAGTGAGACAGCTTTTGAAACATTTTGGACATTTTTCCAGAGATTTTTCATGTGATGGCTCATTTTGGTAAATTTATTGTAGGACATTTGATGCAAAGGTGAACCAGTCATTTATTGCAGCTCCTGCAGTAATGTTTCCTTTACAGTATAATGACAGAATACATTTTCTCCATTTATGAGGCATATCAAATACTCTACGCAGTACTGGGCTCTAAGTTTCCACAACGGTGCAAAACGTTTCCACTAACAAAACTCTAGTTGTGACAAACTATCAGCAGGATTTGGAGCCACACCTTGCTGAGTTCTTTGAGTTCCCAGCCCAGCCTGAAGGCCGTTAGGATGGGATCTTCACTGGACAGCGCAATGAGAGACGGCGAGGCCAGAGCCTTGTAGATGTTGAGCCGAGACCGTGAATGTCGAAGGCTGTCAACCTGGACAGGGAACCAGAGAGACAAAAAATATAACAGTTTGAAACTTATCAGTGCCATGCCGACATATTGTACCAATACACCAATACACTGTCGGTTTTTTGTTGGGTATAAAAGCCAACTGGAATATATGTACAGAAGCTTCGTGCTACGGAAGTCCTGCCTCCTCCCACAACCCAGTCATGGTGTTGCATGAGTTTTATTTTAAACATCATGTAATAACTAATTAAAGCCAAATGTGTTATAAAAATTTATTGTAACATACATCAGCGAGAAGGTATGAACTACATGAATCAACAAGATTCAACGCCTGACCAACATGTTTGTTTTTAAACTAAGGGTAAAATCCCATTCATGTACATGGAGAGGTTGGGACTTAAAACTTGGACTGAAACCAGCCAACAGAGAAGCTGGTCCCACTCCTGTTTCAACTTTCAGAGTAACAGACCATAATATAAACCCAGTTCAGACTATACCTGGAGTTAAAGGGGCCTAGACTAGATTACTTCTTGGGTATGCTATGGCTTGTGCTATTGTATACCAGAACATATAAATTGGCTTATTCACACCCCTCAGGACCCTTTTATCAGGCCAGATTATAACCCCCATTACTTTATCAATTACTTTATACCCAGAAAAGCGAATAAAATTGTGAATTACGTGCGCAAAATATCTGTTTTAAAATGTAATACGTAAAATATAGAAAATACATGACTAAAAATTACCATTCTCTCCTCGCCCCAGCAAACTCTACTTTTTTGATTGAATTGTTAATAAGTGGCCTCGTTTTGAATCCATAATTAAATTAAGTGGGGCAAGTATCCTCAGTTTGTGACTTTTTTTAATCACAAACATAGCAAATATTTGTTTTGACAACAAGTTGAAAATTCAACCAATTTACTATTAAAATTAAGTCACAGTTCACAACTCTGCTGACATTATTTAACGAGACATTGTTTGAGACAGACTACTACATTAGATGGGTATATTCTGGCTTGTAGGGGTATATTCTGGCAGGTATATGGGTGTTTTAGGAAGGAATAGGGTTATATTCTGGTGTGTAGGGATATATTCTGACAGGTAGTGGTATATTCTGACCTGTAGGGGGTATATTCTGGCCTGTAGGGGTATATTCTGGCAGGTAGAGAAATATTCTTGCCTCTAGGGGTATATTCTGGCAGGTATATGGGTGTTTTAGGAAGGAATAGGGTTACATTCTGGTGTGTATGGGGTATATTCTGGCCTGTAGGGGGTATATTCTGGCCTGTATGGGTATATTCCAACCTTTAGGGGTATATGCTGTCCTGTAGGAATGTATTCTGACCTATAGGGTATATTCTGACCTGTAGGGTATATTCTAGCTTGTAAGAGTATATTCTAACTTTTAGGATATATTCCGGCCTGTAGGGGTATATTCTATCTTTTGGGTATATTCTGCCTGTAGGGGTATATTCTGGCCTCTATGGTATAGTTTGGCCTCTAGGGTATATTCTGGCTAAGGCTACTTTACATCCCTGGATACAGTTTGTCCTAGGACAGTTTTTCCCTTGGGGTATACTCTGGCCTGTGCCAAAGTACACCCAGGATTAATCTGTTACACCAGGTTCCATTCTAAGGTCTACCTATTTTTACAGTCTTTGGGGCCAAATCAAACCATGAGCCACCACTTCTTGTTGATAACTTTCAAATGGTAAATAACCTAGAAAGAGCTTTGAAAACAGTTAAGCCACAAACCTCTGAACTGGACACGCACTCAACACAATCGCATCGTATCTGGTGCGGTCTGGGTATGGTGACCTACACAGAACATTGAAAATAAAACATGAAACACACACATATAAGAGCAATCTGCACTAAAGAAATTAACCTCATCAGTGTCATTACTTTTCTCTGGACAAGCAGCTTGATGATCTCATAGTTGTTGGTGTGAGCAGCGAGCATGATGGGAGTTATATCAGGGGTGAACTCTGAGAACTGGCTGTCCATCATCAGTGAGGGAACCTGAAGAAAAGCAAAGAGCAAAACTCATTAAAGAGACTAATTTACAAATTGCTAAAATAAATAAAGAACAAAGTTCGGCCTGAGTATAAAATATCTTGAGTGATTGTTTTCTGCAGAATTTGACCATCAGAATCAGAATCAGCTCTATTATCATTGGACCAAAATACAGTGAAATTATGTTTGTACAGTTGTCTGAAAGATGGGCAGAGTGCACGTTGCTGCTGCTACTGGAGCGCGGCCACTTATCTTTTTTCAGAATGCTTTTTTAGATAGAAAAGGGGAAAAAGTCACGAGGAGAGGATGGTGGCATTACAAAATAGATCTCTTCACACCTTGTCCTTATCGGGATACGATTTAAGACATAAAAAAACTCTGCCAGCAAGCACATTTATAACACATTTCATATGCATCTGATGGCAAGACCGTGAGATTTGTCCATGAAGCACTTCCAGCTTCATCAAAGCACTACCATAGTCCTGATAAGATGTTGGTCAGCCGGCACAGTTCTGATAAGCCTCCACAGAAGTTCTCGGAGATGCGATAGATGAAGCTTTTCCATAGTTTACACATATCCCAGGAGAACTTTGATATGTCGGTCTGCTTTCGAGGCCAACCGGGGGAGTCAGATTCAGATAAGCCACAATTGTTGATTTTTTGCAGGCAGACTGTTTTTTTTCTAGTCAGTCTTGAGTCCTGCTGGGACTTTCCAGATCCAAAATGGACAGATTTGTGAGCATTCCACTAGTCCATGCCTCCTCCAAGGTCGTTTCCAACATGCTGGGGAGTCCCGGAAGCCGCAGGTGGCCTGTGATTCTCACCATCTTACGGTTTAACTCATAAATCAGCTGATTTTGGGTCCTTGAAGCATGAACCAAACCTTCACACAGACTCTGCAGTTTTGCCATTGCCAAAACTGCTGCTGCCGTCTTCCTTAATAGCTGCAACATAGGAATCCGCCTATGCCAGAAAGCAGAACCCTTGTTATCATGAATCCAATTATATAAATGACTTTGGCGTCCCCTGAGACAAAACAAAGACACATCAGCTCCCAAACTCCCCACAGATCCCTGACGTATCCTGCTGCATGAGTCTCAGTGGGGCATGAGGGCTCTCCAGGACCCTGTCGCTTTGTTGAAAAGAGTTTGTCGACTGAGTTGAAAGTCCAGCAGACCAGATCCATGACAGTAGTTTACGTTTCGGAAGACGTGTACCAGGAGCTTCAATACACAGACAGAGAGCAAAAAACAGGAGGAGAACAGGAGAGGAAAGAAAAGACGTCCGCCTTGCACGAGAGCGAGTGAGAAAAGTCATCTCATCTTAGAAAACTCAGACAAATCTGCAGCAGAGAGAGTTAAAACACGTTTATTTAGTGTTCACGCTGCACACAGATGACAAAAATAAACTAACTGTCCTGCCACGGTGTGAAGCATAAAACTCATGATTCATGCTCCATGAAGCTTAAAGGAGAGCTGAGCAAGAGGAGAGGATCGAACATGTGAACTCTTTCATCTCAGAGGGAGAACGGAGAAGAGGGCTTGCTCTCATCTGAGGATGTCTCCACCTTCATCTCTCGCTCTTGTTCCTCCTACACATCCTCTCCTCTCACCATCAGTCTCTTCCTCTAGCCTTCTGTCATCTTCCCTTCCCGTCTGCTTCACCTCCTCGTACCGCTCCCTCTGCCCTTCTCCGGTCTCTGTCCCCTCTCCTCCTCTCTCCTGCCAAAACCTTTTACTCATCCGTTCTGTCCTCCTTCCACTTCCTCCGTTTCCAACAGCTGCTCCAAGATTGGCATCACACGCTGAGTAAAAAGTCAGGCACCCTCTTTTACTTTGAAGGTTTTACGTAACGGAGTTAGATAAACCTCCCTGGTGCCAGGTCGGGTCGACACATTTTGATTATTTGTTGGACAGAAACAGCAAAAACAGAAATACAGCAAGAAAATGAAGTCCACCTCGTTATTCAACAGTCTGTAACAGCATTAACTCTCAGTAATCCTTCCATGATGACCTCATCGGTCTCCTGCATCTTGTGGAGGAATTTTGACCCACTCTGTTCTATAACATAGTAGTGCAGTTTACTGAGACTCACAGACATTTGTTTCTGCGCAGCTCTTTGAACGCTCCACCACAGCATTCTGGTCGACGGCTGAAGTTCTTGACTGGATTGTTGCGGCACCAGATGATCCTTTTCTTTCTGAGTCATTATCTTGTAGAACATCTGCCATGTTTGGGATCATTGTTGAGTTATGACCCACTTTGGTCCGAGCTTCGGCTGTCGGATAGATGAACTCACCTTTGACTCAAGAATCGTGCTTTTTTTACCCAGAGACGTTCACAATCAACTGAATGACTGCAAAGAGCCCAAACCATCACTCTGCCACCACCGTGCTTTACAGTTACTGCTATGTGCCGATATGCTTGGTGTCCTAAAAACATTACACTTATCTTTTCTAACATTATTAATTTGTTTGCAAGTCTCCAGTACAGGCCTGGTGTGCCAAAATAAAACTTAATGGCAGAACGAAATAACCAGCAGAGATCGTGCAGCTGCAGCTCTGCCGCTGGAGATTGTGAAAAAAATAAACAAATAAAATCAATTAAAAGCAAAACAACAGAAAATCTGTTCAGCAAATTACAGTATGTTCCCCTGTCCTAATTTAAACACTTTATGTTTGACTTATTTTCTTAATCCAGTATGGCTCTTTCAACACTAAATGAGTACAGTGAACACACGATTGAATAAAAATAAAAGATTAAATTAACTGACGTGATGAAAGATGTGCACGTGTGCCGAGCGCTGAAATTAAAGTCACCAAAACTCCACTTCACTTCCAATAATCTGCTCACTTCATCTCTTTCCTCTAATTTTTAGACTTGAAAAGAGAAACGACAACTAAAATATCTAATCCTTTAGCCTCTCTGTCTTCACTCCTCCTGAGTCAAACTTCGGCTTTCTTCCTTCTTTTTAGTCTGACCTTCATGGTTGACCTCTCAGTTTCTGTTTTTATCATCTGTGTGAAAACACATTCACGTTTTCTTTTAATCTCCTGCTGGAGTTTTTGTTAAAATCCATTCATTTAAATAAAAATGGTGATTAAGAGGAAAGGAAAGGATAAAATCGAGGAGAATGAAAGAGCTGTTGCACTTTTGGTCAAACAAAATTACCATTAACATAACATATAGGGCGGCACGGTGGTTCAAATGGTAGAGTTGTTGCCTCTCAGTGAGAAGGTTGCTGGTTCAAATCCCAGCCAGGGTTCCTTCTGGGTGGAGTTTGCATGTTCTCTCTGTGCTGCATGGGTTTTCTCCCGGTACTCCGGTTTCCTCACACAGATCAAAAACATGCATGTTAGTCTGATTGGTAACTCTAGTCAAGTCTAGTCTGTCCATAGGTGAGAGAGAGAAAATGGTTGTTTGTCTCTATGTGTCCATATGATGGACATAGACCTGTCCAAGGTGTCCCCTGCTTCTCACACAGTGATTGCTGGACATGGGCACCAGTGACCCAAAAAAGAAGTAGAAACGAGATAATGGATGGACAGGTGGATGGATGGATGGATGGATGGATGGATGGATGGATGGATGGATGGATGGATGGATGGATGGATGGATGGATTGATGACAACATATAACATTATGCAAGTTCTCATGCAACATCAGATGTGAGACGTTTTAGCAAACTATTGTTGGAGAATAAACCTTGAGCTGCAGCATAATATCTGTAAACTGGTTGAGTTGCATCATTTTTTGTGTTTTTGGAGGTTGATTAGCTGTGGCGGACATCTTGAACTGATTCTAAAACGTATTCAGCTACAGATGTCCATCAAACGATTTCCTTCTGAGCAGTTCAATAAATATTTAAAATAGAACTCAAGATCTTACTTCTAACCTACAAAGCTCCCAACAACCTAGCTCCATCTTATATTACAGATCTTATTGTTCCATATTTTCTCAACAGAGCACTTCACTCTCAGACTGCAGGTTTACTTGTGGTTCCTAGAGTTTCCAAAATCAGAATGGGAGGAGGATCTTTCAGTTCTCAGGCTCCTCTCTTGTGGAACCAACTTCCAGTTTCTGTCCACGAGGCTGACACATCGTTCAGTTTTAAGACTTTCCTTTTGGTAAATCCTATAGTTAGGGTTGGCTTGGGTTTCCTGAGCTATCCCTTAGTTCTGCTGCTATAGTCTTAGACTGCTGGAGGACAAACTGACCACATGTCCTCTCTCTGCCGCTGTCTTTACTTGCTCTACCTGTTTGTGTTTTTAATTATTTCTATCTTAACATGTTTTTGTTTTTCCTCCTATAGAAAGTTCACCTGGACCTGTTCATTCTGTGTCTGGTTCTACTTCCTGTCCTCTCAACCAGCCGGTCAAAGCAGATGGACGCTCGTCCTGAGCCTGGCTCTGCTGGAGGTTTCTTCCTGTTCAAAAGGAGTTTTTCCTTTCCACTGTCTCCTCTGTGCTCGCTCAGGATGGGAGACAGAGACGAAGTGAAGATTCAACACAATCTGCTGCTTCCTCAGATACAGAACTTTACTGGTTTTAATGGATGTGAATGTTTTTGTTCAGTGCCCAGAGACGACTTCTGTTGTGACTTGCTGCTGTGTAAATAAACTGTATTGAAATGAATATTTTGCTAACAGACAGATGAGAAATATCAACCGTTCACCTTTGATGGCGCACAGTAAACGAAGGATGAAGAAAGAGAAGACGAGGTGGATCGTGAGGAAGATTCGAGGGATTAACACGCAGTTCTGCAGGAGGAACTGAATATTTTAAAATTATCTGCTGGCTAAAAAAAAAAAAAAAAAGGACGAGTTTTAAAAGCAGGAACAAATGTGTTCCCGTTCTCGTCCAGCTGAGAGTCAACCAAAACCTTCCCACAATCCTCTGCTCAAGCCAAGAGTTTGTTGCCATGGCGATTCAGAAACGCAGCCGGTTCAAGAATTAATGAACAAGAAAAAAAAGTTCCTCTTTCTTCTTCTGATGGATTTTCGCCCTTTCTTCTCGATGACTTTAAATCGGCGACTCTTATCTTTTGTCACTTGACGTCTCCCCGCTGATTCCCTGAGCGACCACACTTCAGCTGAACTGGTTTCTGTCTCTGCTTTGCTGGTTCCTCTCTCTCAAGCACACACAAAGATAAAAAAAACACCAAGTACAGCGGCGGCTGGATGGAAACACTGTCAGTCTCCAAATCCTATTTCACAGTTTGTCTCTAAACGAGGTGTTTAATTTCCCTCCTCTCAGCAGAACGTGGCACGGAGCGTTACGATGAATAGACGCGCGCTTCACCATCGCGCACGAACACATTCAAATGGAAAAATAGACGCAAACACACATTCACGGGTGAGTAATCGCACGCGCGCGCCTGGATGCAGCAGATTAACACACAGTTTGGCCCGAGCGCACCTGTTTCTCTCCGCTCGGCCTGCGGTGGGACAGCAGCAGCTCCACGGCGCCCACCACCTCCTTCCTGATGGCGTACAGCAGGGCGTCGCCCGTGTGGATGCCGTGGTCCAACAGGAGCTCCATGATCTCCAGGTTCTCGTTCTCGATGGCGATGAGGAGCGCGCTGCGGCCCAGAGGGTCCAGACAGTTCACGTCCATGTTGTAGTAGACCTCCGCCTCGCGGAGGGCGTGTTTGACCCCTGCATAGTCACCTGGAGGCAGACGGGACTGGTTGGTAACATTAGTTTCAAACTCCTACATGTCTGCAATGAAGCGTTCTTTCTTTGACCACATGATGGCTTCAACCGAAGGTTTTATCTGCACATGATGATAAATATTTTGAATTATGTCAAATAAATACAGCTGAAACAAAATAAAAGGTCGTTTTTAAAGCCGAGTTACAGAAAGCTGCTCAGAGTGGGTGAATACCCGTTAGATGATCCACACCCTGAAAGAAAGTGGCTGGACTCCTGCAAATTTGGGAAACTTCCTTTAATGTGAAGTCATAAATGATGCTGCTAAGCTTATTCTGTCCCTCGTAATGAAGCAGCAACAACAACAACAAAAAGGAAATATCCTCCGTCCATCTCTTCTCCATGATCATTTGAAAAAAACAAAAAAACAAAACTGAGGTACTGACTTCCATTTTGGTGCGTCTGCATCTCGGCAAAAGAAAGGCTCCTTTTGATAATTGGAGTTCCATGTCATAATCCAAGATGGCCACTTTCAAATATACAAGTAAAGTGACTACCCTTATCATTTGAGTAACCTCTGCATTCTAGTGTTATATTAATTAAAAGTATAGTTTCCTCAAATGATGGGGTGGCTGAGGATTAATCTATCATGGCCAAGGCCACCATTGGCCACCCTCTACCACTGCACCTGGTGGTGGATAAACTGCTCCCTCCACTCACCAGGATCCATCACTCTGTGCTGCTTCAGAAAAACAAATAAACTACGTCTGTTCTTCTGCACAGTGTAACTCCTACTTACTTCATCTTGCACTGAAAAGATTAGTTTATTTTTATGTTCAACTCCAGTCCAGAAAAAACACTCATCTTGAAATCTACAAACATTCATTGTTCAAATCTCTCATCGATGAGGCCATCGGCGAGCCACTTGTTAGTTTTTCTTATTTTCCATATTTCTGTAAAGCCCTCACTGATCTGATGTCGGACAGGTTGATGCGAATGATTGTCCCATTTAATAAAATTTAAAAAAAAGCTAAGTGTTAGGGATTTTTTGGTGAAAGGTTATGGATGTTTTTATTTATTATAGCCGAGAGTCTTAACTCTGCCCATGAATCATATGTTTGTGTTTGTAGAAAGCTGGATGAGGATGAGGAGCAGGGTGAAGCTGCAGCTGTCGCTTCAAGGACGTCTCAGAGTCTGTGAGCTCGGCTGAACTGATAAGAGAATAAAAACAAAGTTCTCACACGGCTCGTGGCAGATCCTCCTGACTGGTCGTCATGCGTCTACTTCCTGTATTTCTGTGTAACCTGTTCTGAAAATCTGACCTTACAAGTAAATATTGGGTAAAAATCTTCTCCTGCTGTCGAGCGCGGCTCCTTTTATCCAAGTAAGATAAAGCGGGAATATTTTTCTCCATCAGTAAGCTTTAGTGAAATATTTTTAGATATGAACATCATAATATCTATTTAACTATTTATGTTGTTTTGACACTAATTATCACAAACACGACCAGCTTTCTGTGCCCCGCTGATTACAAGACCTGGATGTTATTTTGTGCTGAAAGAAGCACAAAGTGAAACTTGGTTTCTCGTTGAGGGACGATCAGTCCAGTCTGTGATGCGCATGTTCCAGAGGTGAACCCGTTAACCGCCGCTGGGTGCAGATCAGCCCGACTGAGCAGCTGCTCGGCTCTCAGCTCCATTTCACCACTGAATGCAGGTGTGCAGGGAGCAAACTAACTCCTGGATTTAAAACAAGCAGATGGCTGTAGACGTGTGCGTGTACCTTTCTCTACAGCAGTGAGGTAGGCCCGCTCCTCTGCAGACAGCTCCACTTCAGCGCGTACGATCTGCAGCGGGATGCGGTCTCTGTACGGCGAATACGTCGCCTAAACAAAAACAGAAAAACAAAAAGAGTCAGATTCTACTCACAAACCACTGGATGAGGAGATGAGGTCAGTTCATTTGCAGATAGTCTGACTCATGGTGTCTAACTGGGATGTGGTGGTCTGTCAGGGGATTTTTGGTCCAGGTTTATGGATGTTTTGTCACCATTAATGTTAACTGTCCACGAAACATGTGTGAGTTACCAAAGACTTCTCTTCTCCCTAAGAGGGCTGAATGAGGAGCTGATTTGATCCTGCATGTGCAGTTGAATGTGGCCGAGGTCATCAATGTCTGCCTGAGCCAAGAGCTGATACGTGTATAAAAAACAATTCTCACACGCTGCCCAGTGCAGATTCTCGTGACTGGGCTCCGTGCATGTAGAACTTCTGTACATCTGTGCAACCTGTTGTGTAAGTCTGCCCTTGCAAGTAAAACCAGTTAAAAATCTTCTTGTGTCCTCGAGTGTGGCTTCTTTGAGAAAGTAAGATGAAGAGAGGATATTTTTATCCAACATTTTGATCCTTTGAGTTGGATACGAACCAGCAACCTAAGGATGATATTTTTAAGGGGGCCGAGATGGGGTAGAGGCAGGGCAGCCGACTCAGAACCCGAAAGTCCCAGGTTTGATCTCCAGTCATTGCACATCTCATGGTGTTCTCTGAGCAGAACACCCTATCCCCAATTGCTCCCCACACACTTTCAGTAGCTGCCCACTGCTACACCTAGGGGTGGATAGGTTAAATGCGGAGAGCCAATGACATCATTGTATAATGATGACAACACATACGCATTATTATTATTTATCCAACATTTTGGTCCTTCGAGCCGGATACGAACCAGCATCCTAAGGTTGATGTTTTTATCCAACATTTTGGTCCTTCGAGCCGGATACGAACCAGCAAACTAAGGATGATATATTTTTATCCAACAACAGTTGACAATGTTGAAGAACATTTGAGAGAGAATGTCCAAAATGTCTCAAAATGTTCAGTAATTTAAAAGAAACACTAATGTTTTTTTCATTTATAAAGTATCCATTAAATCATAAACATAGGGGTGGCTGCCGGAGTGGTACAAACCGTGCTGAAGAGGATAAAATGATACACAATAAATGGAATACAGAACAGAAAAAGAACACAGTTTTAGACTGGTTTTTTTAATAAACTGTCTGCATTGAAAGTGACAACACGGCTCTGTGGTTGCAAACCCTCAGATTGTAAAGAAAATCTGGCCAAGTTTTTCACAATGTTCATTCCTAACTGGTGTCCAGCAGTCGCAGCCTTGCAATATACCGCCTACTGTTAACTGGGAGGTTAAGGGAACTGGTCAAAAGCTTTGCTCCTTCCAGTTTTGAACGGAGAAAACTTGTATGAGAAGGGAAATGTCTTAAAAAAAAAAAAATCAGGTTACCTGCTGTGAAAACTTGATGCATTTGTCTCAGACCTGAGTGGTGTTGATGACTCATTGTTATAATGTGGTGCATTAGCACTTTAATAGTTCTCTGTGTGTAAATTTATCTCTATATTTGGTTGCTTTACGAAAAAAAAGGTGCTCATAAATAAATTTAGATTTGATTTGAATGTTGTGGTTAATTAACATCGTTCAGAGTTCCTAACGGCCATCTGGACTGAAGGAGTGCTACATCAGCTTGGTGCAGACAAATGTGAACGTGCACATCATTTATGATTTTCTGAAACTAACTGATAAAGTTAGAAAAGTAAAGATTATCTGAGGGAACTCAGATTAAAATTATATGAAGGTTTTCTGGGCTTGGACTAGTTTAAATCATGCAAACCTCTTTATGGGAGTTTCCTGTCTCAGTGCAGGCGTTTTAATCACCTGCTGCAACGAACTGTGGACATTTACGCAACTTCATGGGTCTCGGGTGTGTTTTCCTGTCTCTGTAAGCAAAATATCTCATGAACCATTGGATGGATGTGAATAAATCTAAAAAATTTAACTTTGAATATGCATCTACAACTCTAATGTTTGGATTCATCCTGATTCAAGCAAGCAGCCACCGCTAGACCATCTTATCAAATGACATTACCTCAAGCAGATTTACACGTTTGACCTAAAATTTGGTGTGGTAGTAGCTGAGAGTCATCCCCAACACCTGTTCTGGGCTCTAACTGATTGCACAGATCTGTTTTAAAACTCTGCCATTAATGATTGAAGTCAGCTGTGCTTGTTAAAGGATCTCATGAAGCACTGCATGAAATTTAATGACACTTTCAAAAAGTAACAGTGTGATGTACAACTCGTTATCTCTGGGAGTTAGCCTGATCCAAGATGGTTGCCGAAGTTAATCGAACCTAAACGCAATTATGGCTAAACCTCAAGAAACTCAGATCTCACACGGTCACGAGATTCTGCATCGATTCTTTTACAAGGTTTGATCAAAACTGATATGGCAATGTTTAAAAGCACTGGTGTGAAAGATGGCCGCCATACGCACTCCTTCAAAACACACAAGTAGTAGTACACACAGATAGTATCTGACTCACCTTCTTGTAGTACAGCTGCGTCATGGGATTCATTTGGACAGACTGGGAACAAAAAAGAAAGAAAAACAAAATTCAATACAAGTAAAATGTAAAATGAATGCGGTCATAAACAGACATGTCTAAGGCCTCTAGCAGATACTTTAACGACGTTGGACCAACGAGTTTTGATCCTGGAACTTCTCTGCGAAACATTTAGCAGATTCTGTGCATGTATAATAGAATATATAATTGACTTTATGAACATTTAGAGCCTCATCAGTCCTGGCTCTGCTCTCGTTATTACACGTAATCCTCACAAAGCCCGATCTAACAGGAAGTGTTTAGCTCCTCTCATTCGCACGCTTGTGTGAGCTCCAGTTTATTTGTTCGAGTCTTCACCATGTTGACTTTTTGCACCATAATTAATCCATGTTTGTTCACTTCTGCGCTCGAGACAGACGCTGCACGTTTACATTTTCCGACGCAGCTCAGCATTAATTTGTCTGCAGCAGGAAACAGTCGCAACGAATGCGGCAAAGAAGAATCTGTGTTTCAGAGAGGAAAAAAGAGCTAATTAGAGTTGTTGTTGTGAATGCTCGAATAAAGAATAATTAATAACCAAAGAACAGACTGGACACGTGCTGAAGGACTGCAGTGGGACAAGAGTGAAAACTGGAGAAAAAAGCATTTTCTGCAACAATGCACAGTGTTGAATGACGTCACTGAAAACTCTGGAAGAAACTAAAAAAGAAAACCAAAATAAATAATAAAGCAGTAGCTAAAACGAGCACAACCATACATACAAGCTAACATTAGCACCAGCAGCCAAAATTAAAAATTAAAGAAGTAGCTAAAAGCTCAAATTAACCAAATCAAAAGGTTTAAGCTAAAAGTCACTAGATTAATGTCACTAGATAAATGTGGTTTCAAGCTGAAATCAGCTAAACCTTAGTTAAATGCTAAAGCTAACAAAACCTTAGTTAAGAGCTTTAATTAGCTAAGCAGTAGCTAAAAATCAACAAAACAACAACAAATCTAAAAGTAGCAAAACACCAACTAAAGCTTAATGTAGAGGAACAGTACCTAAACGCTAAAATTAGCAACAGCAGCTAAAAGCAAACATTAACAAAGCAGTAGCTAAATGCTCAAATTAACCAAACCAAAAGGTTTAAGCTAAAAGTCACTAGATTATTAGATTCAACATAAATGTAGTTCAAAGCTAAAATCAGCTAAACCTTACAAGCGTAAATTATCAAACCAGAAGCTAAAATCAACAAAACAACAAAGCTAAATGCAGCTAAGCACTAACTAAAGCATAAAGAAGAGGAACAGTACCTACAAGCTAAAATTAGCAACAGCAGCTAAAAGCAAAAGTTAACAAAGCAGTAGCTAAAAGCTGAAATTAACCTAACCTAAAGGTATGAGCTAAAACTCACTACATTTAACATAAATGTGGTTCAAAGCTAAAATCAGCAAAACCTTAGTTGAAAGCTTAAATTAGCCAAGCAGTAGCTAAAATCAACAAAACAACAACAAAGCTAAAAGTAGCGAAACACTAGCTGAAGCTTAAAGTACAGAAATAGTACCTAAAACCTGAAATTACTAAGACAGTAACTAAATCCTAAAACTATCAGCTAGAAGCTAAAACTGGAATAACAGTAGCTACAAATTAAACTTATCAAATCTGCAGCTAAACATTAACAGCGCAACTAAAAGCTATAAATATTTTCTAACAGCTAAATGTGGCAAACCAGCAGCTGACAGTTTGATTAGCATGCAGCAGCCAAAAGCTAAAATGAGTGTAAGACAAAAACAAAAAGTTTGCTGAAGTAGACTTTAAAGGACAAAGTTAGGATTTGGCTGTAAATGTATATTTTTAACAAGTTAAATAGATCAAGGATGCTAAAAGCTGAACCGATCGAGCCAAACGTTTTGACATAAATAAATAAAAAGTGCAACGTGTGCAGAAGTTGTTCCACTGCAACAAGAAGAAAAACAAATCAGCTTTCACATAATTATGGAAAACGAGTCTTTTTATCTGATTATCGTTCGTCACACTCATTAAACACAAACTAAAGTCCGTGCTCCTTTCCAGCTGTTCTCCCAGCTAAACAAAACAGCCGAAGACAAAAACTGAAGGACGGCTTTCAGAAACACGTGGAGTCTCAGAACGGACCCGTTTGGTTCTGATCGTTCCAACAGCGATGGCTCCTGACAGCTAAAACCTTTTTCAACAGCCGTTTTATTGCCCCTCGCTGCTCGTTTTTATGGGCCGTTCCC